AAAGAGAGAGAAAACCTAGAACTAAGATAAGCAGAATTTATTGTACAAGCCTCCAAAAACTTGCAACAAAAACTTGTGGCTAAACCTGTAAGGAAACCAAACCTGACTTATTTCACCAGTTGGCTACTTTCTTATTTTAGAGTTTAAAGGGGTTCTCTTAATTCCAAAAGATCAACAGGATATCATGTATTTTGTATACAATAGGAATTAAAAAAAAAAAAAAAAAGGCTTTGCAAAGAAAAATTGGGGAAAATTTTGCATTGATTGTAAGATGTAGACATTCCATAAACTTCAGTATAATAACTAGAAACTCCAGAACATCTCTTTGTCAAATGCATTCAGAATTACTTGACTTGCTAAAAAGCCAGCAGTTGCTTGGACTCAGATTTGTGGAGTCTCCAGCCACCATGTAGATGCTTATGTATACACTTGCAGTTTTTACTGGATTGAGGGAATTAATGTTATTGATAAAGGAAGCAGCCACATACCATCCTTGAAAATTCAGGGGAGTAGTGATTGTATCCCAGGAAGTAATGGTAGAAGATAACTCTCCCATTACATTGGGGGGGAGGGGTGGTAATCTAAAGCTGTGCAAAACATCATTGTTCAGGCCTGTAAAATCCATAAACTTTAACTAACATTCAAAGAACATAACAGAATTGGAATTCTATCCTAATTTTAAATAGGTTCAAGATCCTATTTAAGTGCTTTGCATAAATAGGCTCAGATACTGATAATACAGTTATTCATTCTGGAACAGGACTGTTTTTTCATCAGTCCCATCACCATGTTTTAAGTGTTATTTTGTAGTTCTACCAGCACATATCTAAAGTGCACAATTTCTGTGAAGAATTATGTTAAAATTCTACCACCCTATAAGGTAAATATATTTTAATGTTCATTTGGAAAACATAATTTTGAAGAAAAAGCTAAGCCATATACCTCCAAAATTACACCCACTCTCACTTATCTATATATAAATGCAAAGACTATGCACATGAACATGTATCCCAGAATGTACCGTTCACTGTAAACTTTTCAGTGGAAAACCTGAATTTGTCAAACTAACCTCCTGGGGGAAAATAAATCATTTTCAATTAAACCTGCATTAGGAACGGTCCTTATGAACAGGACACAATTTCCAGTCTGCCTGATCCAGAGCAGAGACCTGAACCTGCAGTGCTTTGACCTACGAACTATTAGTTATTTTGGGGTCAATTTTTCTTAATCTCTCCTGTGGGAGCTGTTCTTCAGTAAATTAATAATTAAGTATTCACAGGCCAATGTGAAAGAGACTGACAGAGAAAAATGGCATGGGTACTTATGCAGAAGATACTGTCAGGCAGAGAAGGGGTTTGACCCCAAATTTCCTACTTTGCATAGAAGGGCCTTAGCCTCTTAGAGATGAGGTATAGATGGGGGAGGGCGGGGCACTTTTTGTGCATAATAATTAACAAGGTCTCAGTTCCATCCCAGTAAGAAAAAGTTTTTGAAACTTTGAAAACTTCCATAGTTTCATAGTTTCTAGGGTCGGAAGGGACCTGAGCAGATCACTGAGTCCGACCCCCTGCCATGGCAGGAAAGAGTACTGGGGTCAATCAACCCCAGCAAGGTGGTCATCTAGCCTCCTCTTAAAGACCCCCAGGGTAGGAGCCAGCACCACTTCTCTTGGAAGTTGGTTCCAGATCTTTAACTTTTATAGGATGGAAAAATAATTTTGGACCCAGCTCTAATTACAATCTCATTTACCATACAATTAAGCAAAGGCTATTTTGCAGGGTATATTTAAATACTAGTTATGGAACATACCTGATTTATTTTAAACTTTGAAAATAACATTTAGAATAATGAATGTATGACTACAGCTTACCTATGAGAGACAGCTCCCCAAGCACCATGCTTATTTGTCAGTATGTTGAGTATCTTTTGTTTCAGCTGGTTGGCTGTTACATGATCTCGATGCTTAGCAGCACTGATAAGATGGTCACACATCTTTTCCTCTTCTCTTCTGTCAGCAGCATATTGGGCACACTGTGACTAAAAATGAAAAGTACATATTGTATATAACAGAATCATTTAGAAACTGTCCTATCTTGTTTAGAAATAATTTTCATAATCTAAAAATCTCCTCTCTACCTGCAACTCAGGTAGAGAGCTCTTTGAAGTGCTCATTAAAATTAGTATTTATGTAAACAAGAAGCAGCTTCCCATTCAGACAAAGGTCTAAAACAGAAATGCAACATTTAGTTTTACAGTCTTTAATTGAATTAGCTGTATTAAACACTTCATGACAAAAGAGCAAAGTTAAAGTTTAAAATTAAGTAATTTAAAGCCAAGAAATGCAGAATGATGATGAAAATACATTGAATTCTACATCTCTTTGTTTAGGCCTTAAAATTGGCCATTTTTTTAATTTAAAAAAGTGACCCAAAATCTGCATTTTTCCGTGATCAAGATGAATCACCACTACACACACACACACACACACACACACACACACACACACACACACACACATTACTGGTGTTTCATTTTAATCATAGAAAAATGTGGATTTTTGGTTACTTTTTTTAATCTGAAAATTGGGGATTTTTTTTTAATCTGAGAAATCCGGGATCCCTGTCCATGACATAATACAATATAGGCTGGAAATTTTTAACAATGTAAGAAGTGCCATACTGGGTCAGACCAAAACTCCATCTCGCCTAGTATTCTGTGGCAGGAATGGATGTTTTGGGCTAGGTCAAAGCTTCCCAAACTCTGACAGATTGTACACCACCAATTTAAAATGATACAACCTTAAGTACCACCAGCAAATATTTGTCATATAAAGTAATTATAATAAATCTGTTAACATGTACCACTGACAGGTTGTCTGCGTACCATTGGTGGTCACAGATTGGGAACCGCTGGGCTAGGAATAGAAGTTACACATAAACTGGTTTAAATGATCAGAAACTGCTTTACACATGTAACACAACATAAGTTCAGTGCACATACACCAGTTTCAAAATGGCTGAAACTGGTTTAAGATAAACCTGGTTGAATGTAGTATCAGACTTAACTGATTTGAGTCAAACTGGTTTATGCAATTTCTGTCCCAGACCCCTTCCTGGTTTAAGTTAAACCAGAGTCCTCCAGCATCCCAGCATGCTCTACAGCCCTGGACTGCAGTAGGGCTGGCCCTGACCCTCTGCTCTCTAGCTCAAGCGGGGGAGGGGATGTGGCCAGATGTGTCCCAGCATGGCCACATTAAGGCAAAGTGTGCAGGGAGGGGGTTAATTCTTCCCTCCCCCCACTGCAACTTGGGTCTGCCTGTCTGTGGGCAAGCAGCAGAGGTGGAGTCTAGGACTGGCAGACCCCAGCTGAGGTCCCTGGAGTCAGAAGGGAGAGAGGGAGGGATTAAAAACCTCCCTCCCTGCCTGCCCCCTTCCCCTTAATGGGGCTGTGCTGGGACGGTGTCTACCCATGCCCCCATCCCTACCACTGAAACAGTGAGGGGGGGCAGCAGCCTCTGTCAAGGTACCTCAGGGAGCGTAAGCACGGAGGTGGTTTATTCCCTACTTCCTCCTCTGTCCCAGTACGTCTCTGTTAAGGCTAAGGAGGGGTTAATTCCCACTGCCCTCCCACCAGGGGATTGCATCCGGGGGGGGCAGCCCCCCTCTTCCCCCCTTGCCACCGTGGGGCAGGGAGGGGGGTTCTGTGTGGAGCTGTCCAGCTCCACAGGGAGATTCTTCCCCTTCCTCCTCCTCCCCCCACCCCACTACCGTGGGGTAGGGCAGGGGCCTTTGTGCAGTGCTTGAGGGGGACTTTTCCCCTTTGTCCTTCTCCTTCTCCCAGCTACTGTGGGGTGGGGAGCAGGGCTCTGTGTGGTGCTGCCTGGCCCAGCCTAGCCTAGCCTAGGTGTGGGGAGCATCTATCACTGAGGTGCAGCCTCTGGAAGGGTCCTGCTTCCACAGCCCGGGCCAGTCCTGCTCAGCTCTTGCCAAAGTAGCTGCATGGTGGGACCAGCCTGGGCCCCTGCATCGATAGCTCAGTGACAGAGAAGCTGAACCCTGTTAATGATAGCAGCTTGGCCTGGTAAGCACAGGCGGTGTCTGGCCAAGCAGCAGGCTACCCGGACTGGCTCAGAGGCACCACAGGGGCTCATGTGTCCACACTGAGCCCCCACACCGGGTGGCTGCCGGGCTCCAGGCCTGCCAGCACCTCTGAGCCGGCCTGGGTAGCCCATAGCCTGGTCAGCCACCACCCATGCACATTGGGCCAGGCTGCTCTCGCTGACAGGGCTTAGCCTCCCTGTCACAGCCACAGCTGCTGGGGCCTGGGCTGGCCCTGCCATGTGGCTGCCTCGGCTGGGGCTGAGCAGGGCCAGCTGAGCCTGTGGGTACAGGGCCCTTTCCAGTGGCTGCAG